CCCCAATCAATGGATGATCCGGTAGTCTTACTCTCCCCTGTAGCAGATGATTCATCCGGCGAGCTGGGATTAGCAAAAGTGACAGTCTTCTTCGGTTTGGGGGAGTCCGATTTGGAGGGCTCCTTTTCGATGAGATCTTTTAGTTTTCGTTCCTCCTTTTCCCTCGCTTCTGCAAGGTTTTTCAGCAGGGCCTTCCCCATTTTCTTCTGCATTTCTTTGGCAGCCCTTAACCGTTCCATTTCTGCTTTCGCGGCCTCCTTGCGCTTACGGATATCCTCAATCCGCTTCTCCCTTTCTTCTTCCTCGTCCCTTTCTGATTGTAATCGTTCCTCTTCTTCAAGCTTGGCCAAGATGTGATCTCGTGCGCGACGGCGCTGTTCCCTCTCCGAAGCAGATAGAGATGATTCTGGTATGAGATCTGGCTCATGGAACGAACCCGCTGGAGAGTTCATGTCACTGATATCCACAGCAGGTTCTGTGATGTCTATGATCGGGAGACCTTCGTCGTTAAGAAGCTTTGAATATAGATCGAAAAAATCAATACACAAAGTGAATGCAGGTTCGAAGACGCACTTCGCCCTTCTCATTCTGTTGCAAGCCTTCACCCTCACTTGCGCCTCCGAGGATCTCATCTATTTTATTAGCGAGATGTTTGAGTTGCGAAGGTGCTAGCTTTGAAGAGGGACTCGTGTCCGGTCCTTTAGGTGCCAACGAAGTGAACAGGGCCTGCAGCGCTAAAAAGCTCTCTTGTTGAGCACATCAGAGTTATTGAAGACGTAATTACCCTCAGTATAGCTGTCATTCATGTCCTTGATGTGACCCGACATTGGATCAGTTATGAAGCTTGAAGTCCGGTCAAGGGCTAAGTAACGCCAAGATGATTTGCCACTTGATCAGAGGTCATGTGACTTGCTCCTTCTCTGCAAGACATCCCCGAAATATTCTAGGGCCTGAATCCTCGAGGCCTCATACTGGACAAATTTCATTTCCCCATCCACCATTAGCAGACATGGTTGTCGCACACGTAGAGCAGAACGCATCTGCCACCAAAAACCGCCGAAGCATGACTCGTAAGAAGAAAGCACGCACGGCTGCCAGTACTACACAAGCTGAGGGCGAAGAGATGTCTTCAGAGGTCATTCCCCCTTTGAACTCGCCTCACACGGCCGATGATGACGATTTGATGATCGAAATTGACCCTACCCCCGCCCTAGAGGCAAGCTCAGCGCCCTCTTTTCCGGCTTTGCCTGCATCTGCGACACAATCTGCTTTAAAATCAGAAACGAGGCGGATTCCAATACCCCCGCATCGTATGACGCCTATAAAAAAGGACTGGATAAATATTTTCAGTCCTCTCACCGAGATCCTTGGGCTACAAGTGCGAATGAACGTTCAGAGGCGGTGCTTAGAAATTAGAGTGCGCATACACGCCTATCCCTGGAGATTTTATGCTTATCGCATCGCTGCAGACATCAAAAGCTACCACAGAAGTCGGTGCTCTGCAGAAGGGAGCTGATTTTGTGAAGGCATATGCTCTTGGATTCGACGTTAACGTGAGTGCTGATTACTGTTATCTTTATCCATCTCTCAAGTTATTGATTTACAGGATGCGATAGCACTTCTACGAATGGACGATCTTTACCTCGACTCATTCGAGATTAAAGACGTAAAAACACTCAATGGCGATCATCTTAGCAGAGCAATCGGTCGGTATACGAGCACGCATCATATATTACTTCGCTTAAAAACGTTTTAGGACGGATAGCAGGACAGGATGGCAAAACCAAGTTCACGATCGAGAACACTAGCCGGACTCGTATCGTGCTCGCCGACACGTAAATCTCTGTTCTTTTTTTTCATCTTGATAACATAATTGATGCCTTGGACACAGTAAAATTCACATCATGGGCTCTTTCCAAAATATCAAAATTGCGCGCGATGCAATTGTCTCTTTAATTTTAGGGTCACCACCCGGAAAAGTTTATGCTGGACTTAGGACTGTCAGCAGTCGTATGAAGCAGCGGGCCCTGTAAATTGTTATATATAGACGAATTTATCATCTTTGTTTTCCATATTTCTCCAATATCATCATAGGAAGTGCGATACAAAAACGTTGTGTACAAATCTATTGCTGGCAATACAATACTAGCTCAAACATCAGTCTGAGCAAAATATATAACAGGATGAGAGGCCGACGGTCCAGCAACCGTGAAAGCTAGGATAGCATATATAGATTACTGAGTATTCTTGACATACTTTCCCTTTTTCTTTACTTTTGTCTTCGATGCTTCGTACTGGTCTATTGCAGTCATTTTCAGCAAACTGTCAATAAATGCTTCAGTGTTGCAGATAAAAAAAATGGGAAACAGACGTACTTGTCCCAAGCAGTGTGGTCCACAGGAGGCCCATCACCGTTCCCTACCATCACCTGAAATCCGACGCTAGGGACATTGTCCACGACAACGTATATCCAACCCGGTCCTGGTGGATATACGGCAGGTCTAGGCGGACCAGTAATCTGTAGCGAATGTCCGTCACTGAAAAGCTCAGAGCTCAGATACACTAGACGGCTATTTGCGTGAACAGCGTGGGTTACAAAGCCAAGATCCATCAGTGCAACTGTGGTGCATAATCGTGAGGTTGGTGGCCAGAACTGAGTGGTAGCAAACCCACCTTTGATATTCCGGGCATTCGCTGTGGCAGGCGGGAATTTGACATTCAGAGTGATGTTCTGTCCATACGGGAGAGCCTTTGGGGGCTTATGCACGAGTGGCCTGTTCTTGTTCATGTATGGAGGACCAACCCACTCAACTCTATAATCCGTCCCATACTTCACCTCGCTCCGATCCAAGTTCGGGTTGCTCCCAGCTACCATGATATCACCATTGGGTGTCAGTGTCGCGACTGAATGGTACATCCTCGGAATCGCACTGCTTTTCATTCCCTCTGAGGAAAAGCGTTGCCCAGATGGTGCGGCGGGATCATATAAAACTGGCGTAAGGACCGGATGGTCTGCGTTCGACTGCCCAACCTGATCGATAACGTTGCCGTAGCCTGAGATTCCAGTTCCCGCGCCATTGACGATCAGAACCTCGCCAGTTGGGAGCAAGACTGCATCTGGCATGTGACGCGCCTCGGGCATCTGTTCAACCACCCACCCTGTAGCAATTCCTTGGTCGGTAAGCAGCAAGCGAGAGCACTGGGAAGATGCTGGATCTTGAGAAGATATCTCGTAACCTGGTTTCCTGTCGTCAATCGTGGAACCTCCGCACAGCAAGATTTCTGCAGTGTAACCATCTTCAGGCGATAAAGGAAGGAGGAGGCCAGCAGCTGCCATAGGATACGTAACTCGGCATTCGTTAGGAATTCGCGGAAGTTGTTGTTCCTGATTCGTCCGCCAGTCATATATTATAGCGTCTTGATTGGCGGCCATGAAGATCCTATCGTCTGGAAGTGAGAATACAATAGGGAAAAGGTTGGCGTTGAGGGTGCGGACGAGGAACGGTAGATGTATAGGCAAACCAATCGAGTTGTGAATAGACTTCGGGGGCCAGTATTCTATTGTAGGGTTATTCACTGTCTCGTTGTTCATCCACCCGCCCTTCTTCGATCCTCCAACGATCATAGCGCTTCCATCCGAGATTCGAATGACTGTGTTATACCAGCGGGGGCTAGCCATGCGGATGCGGGAGTGATTCTCGTAGATGTTGCAATGAGCGGCGGAGGCAGATGGACAAGGCTCAAAGATACGAACTGCCTGCAAGCCATCGAGATCTCCAAAGTCTGCTGCAGACGTGTACCCGCCAACTACAGGGTTACCCCCAACGTTTATCAGAGTTCCGTTGCTCAGAAAAGTCCCACCGGCACAAAACGAGTTGGATTCGACCTTGAGGGGCCTAACGGCATGTGTCCGGAGGTTGAACAGGGCAGCCCATGCTGGGTGCCCCCCAATCGACACGGGATTATGTTCAACTTTATCGATGATAAGAGCGTGAGTATCCGAGATCACGGTAAGCTGCATGGCAGATACGCCGGTTACGCCCTTTTGTTCCAGTGTCCATTGTGATTGCGAAGTCAAGGACTGGATCTGCCCTGGCTGGGGCGCATTTGACATGTCAAGGGTTAGAGGAAGGGTCATGAAAGGGGTCTTATGACCTTCTGTGACAACAAATGCATCTACATCGATAACGGGGCTGTCAACCCGTCCCTTTCCAAGGTTTGTGACCTTGATGATGTGTTTTCCGTACGGCAGGTTAAAAGTCCAAAAGATCCGTTGCTGTTTACGCGACACGTTGCTCCAAGTATCGATCTCCTGCACTTTTTTCCCATCGATGAACACCGCGGCGACTCCATGACTCCTGTCCAGACCACCGAACCACTCGATACCAGTGCCCACGAACGTCATCCGGGCAGCAGCTCCTTTTTCGTCAGTCCAACGCAGCGTCGTCGCGACGTACATGCTATTATAGGAGTCGAACCAAGAACCAGTGAAGTGAATGAACGGCGACGACGAATCATAACCTTTTGCTCCTGGCGGGACGTAATAGGGTCGGAATGGACCTGGTGTGTCTGTCCCTGAAGGAGTCTGGCCATTCCATGCGGACTGCTTGGCCCAGGCAAACGCCCAAAGCACCGGACACAAAAACAGTGCAAGAATAATCATACAAGAAGACAAAGAAGTGCAACTTAGCAAATGTGAAGAATGTGAAGCGGTCAGAGATGGAATTGATCATTTTGATGAAATGAACAAGTTCGGCGCGACGCGACGCGCTCACGTGACATGTAAAAAATAATCCGTTATGCAATGAACAAGTACTGTCCTACGTCCCCGCCGGGTGCTAATTTAACAATCTATACTATGCATGATATGTCACGATGAAGATAATTGATCAACGTTCAGATAACTGTATGTTGTGTGATGAGGGAAAAGCAGCAGTGAGAAAGGAAACCATTCACGAAAGGTCATTGATGTTCGCTGAGTCCCCAAGAGCCCCACCTCACTATAACCCTCCATGGTTATGGACCCAAGGTTGCCTTACTTTGCCCTTCCCCTTCCCAATCATCTCTGGCTCGAATGCAGAGATGTTAAAGCCTCGAAGCAGTTCACCCGCGGAAACAGGTGACTCCCACACACGTATCGTGTTGTCGTCCGAACACGATGCAAACATGCGTTTATTGCGGGGGTTCCAGGCTACGGAATTCACGCTTCCCAAGCCATGACCATCCAGTACCTCTAGAAGTGTTCCTGTGTCGCGATGCCAAACATAGACATTGCGATCTGGAAATATTGTGAGTGTGAACTAGCAGGGCGCTATGAACGTCGTTATACCTTCACTTCCACTGATGACAAAGTTGCCATCGATACCACCAAAGCAACTGCGGATGACATGGTGACCCTGTCGTTGCCCAGTGAACTTGCGGGCAAGCCTGAACTCTTCCAGGTCCCACAGATGTATTTCCTTGATGCATGGTCAGTGATATGGTTGAGTTTGATACAAGAAAGAGGGTAGTCACATCTGGAGCGTGATTAATTAACGCATACCGGGAATCTTCAGAGATCTTCACGCTAGTAAGTTCACCCTCCATGTGCAAAGATCTGTGTGCAAAGATCGATGAGCAGATATGCTGGGACAGATATGCTTGTACATACAGCTCAATCTGTCCCGTCTTGAGATCGTAGATAATCAATCGATTCTCCGGCGGACGCGGCCCCGCTGCATTACCGTTGCCATTAGATACAAGGGACGGCGATGCGTCTCTGATGTTGGCACGAGTCAGTGTTCCCAACGTTGGGGGAGGGTTGTATCCCATCCCAACAGCGACCAAGCGTCTCATGTCAGGAGTCACTGCAGCATCAGTGACACGTATGGCTATATCATTCCATGATTCCCGTGGTTCGCCCTCCATATCCTGTTAGAGACTAGGTGAGTGCGATAACATAAGCCCACGATAAGCATACCCATAATATGATCTTGCGATCGAGGCTGCCAGACATAAACCCTGAGCCATCGGGTAACCATACCAAGGCAGACACCGTCTCAGCATGATTCTCGAGCGTCTTCATCAAAACTCCAGTCTATAGCTCATGAGTATCGCCAAACAAGACATAAGAATTCAATGCTAACCTTCGTGTTCCATAGCAAGATGAGGTGGTCCGCAGACGTTAATAATATAGAGTCGTCTAGTGACCAAGCCAAACAACCAAGAGGATATGGGTGATCACGTAAGATGAATTCTACTGTACAATCACGGGATGATGGTTCTGCCTCGAGCTGTGGGGTCAAAAATTAGTATGTTGGACGCTGCAAGTCAGTCCAACTAACCCCAATGCGCCAAATAATAGCTGTCTTGTCTTTACTTGCGCTCGCCAGATGATTACCATCGTGACTCCAGGCCACATTCCACACCTCGTCTGAATGGACGTCAAGGATGGTAGTTGTTATTCGAGGGAAGGATTCCTTGTCGCATGTGTGATCACTAAATAGCGAGAATGAAGATGGATCCACAGGGGAGTTGTGGTAGAGGCAGCGTTGTCGCTGGTATTCTCGCGACTGTGCGAGAAGCGTAGAAAAACGACGCTGGGGAATCATGGTCGAAGAAGGTATATAATCTGCGAGGCAAGACATCAATGGCTGTACAAAACATATAGAGCACAAGGAGATGTTTCTACTGGGATCTCATACTGACGTTGTAGATCTTCAAGAAGTCGTCGCCGTGAGTTTCCCGACGCTCCATCCCAAGAGGCGCGCCGACGAAGATCTTGTGGATCTGAACACATCATCAAGCTGGACGAGAGTCATCACGAATGTAAAACATGAAGATATGTCAAAAAGCTCACCTAGATAATGCATGGAGTTCTTCCTGGTCCAACCCGGTACTATACGGGGCCAGATTATTCCGCAGGACCTGCAGCGCAGCGGTCGTTTTCCGCGCCTCAAGCAATTCAAGATACTTCTGTTTCCCAATGAGAAAGCGGGCGTCCTAAAAATAGAATCGTTAAAAGAGCATGTCTGCCATACAGGAAGATATGCGTACCAGAAGGGCTTCAGCATCAGTCACCCCAAGTTCAATGAGCAAATGTTCTGCATCGGACCAGGCACCACGCAGGATATGTTGCCGAAATTCTGACACTTCTGGTGCTTCTAACGAGTACCCCGACTCGGCTTCGAGAGTGGCAGCAGATTCTCTGAAGGGAGCGTGATAAGGGAAGAGCATATAAGTTTAAAAAAAATCGCTTACATATACCCGACGTCTCTAAGACTTTGAATAACTAATCTCACGAACTCTTCACGATCAAGATATGGGTCGTCGTAGAGGGTGGTGCCTGGCAGCGACACTCGCGTAATGGATGAGTTGTGCTTGGCGAGGCCATTCCCCATTGTTGAAGATCCGTTTGAAGTAGTGCCATTTGATAGCGGAGCAGAGCACCCATTCTCCTTATTTATTCCATTGGAATGACTAGCCAAGGTGACGCAAGACGGGCCTGCCTCTGGTACAAAATCATATGAAGAGGATAAATTGGATTGGTTATCACTTTCAGGAATTCGCATTGCGTTTAGAGGCGAATTAGTGACGCGAAGATTGTTGTTAACGTTCAGGGAGGTAGAAGTGGATTCCAGAGTGTTTATACTATCGATTCGTTGTCGTTTACGAGGCCTCGAGACCTCTGTGTCTGGATAAAGGAATGAGTGGTTAGTAGACATTATGAGGACATTTTAAAATTTAAACGAGTCGCACCTGTTGGAGTAGATTGCAGGTCACCTACAGATTCCTCGAGCTGGGACAGGTGTCTAGTAGCCGGTATCGAAGTAGTTGTATGGGCTTGTACAGAAACTGCCCTTGATTGTGTGGTAGTAGACCGACTGTAACTCTCAACCGTTGCAGATTCCAGGCTTGGAGATGGCCCTAGACGTGCGGGACAAGTGTCCTCTGCAGTATTCAGCTGAGTAAGTGAATCAATGATGGCAAGTTGATGGTTCTGTGGCTGGTTATGTCATGCAGCACCAGAAGTGCAATCGCGAAACTAGAATATTTACGAGAATTTCTGGATGATTTGGGAGTAGTTGGCACAGGATGAATCCCTTACGAAGACCAAGCTTCAGCTTGATGGGTTGAAAGGGAATTGGGAGGAGTCAGTACAGTAAGTTCCCGAAATGGAAGTCCGCTGTCGCGTGTCGAAGGTTTGCACCCTTTCACACAATAATATTTATTATGGGCACATTCTGGCCCACCTTGCAATTGCCTTGCACCGTTATTACGTTATTGCTATTGGTCCCTGCCTGCCCCACCATCATGCTTGCTTGCTGGGGCATGCGCTACAGCTTTTTTTTTTAGCTTATCTTTAGCTCACGAATTACCATGAAACACGTTACTTTGCCGTGTATCAGGAAATGGAAAGGATCGGAACTTATACTGGAGCGCCATGTAATTGTATCATGCTCAGTTAAACTGCACCAAGAACGAATATTACAGTTGAACGTCAAGCAATGTATGGTACTTGATAATGATTCCCTTCAATCCGATGTGACGACCACAAAATGGTGAAAGTCGATGCTAAATGGTACGATGAATGCTAGTTTTGAATGTGACCACGAATAAGTAATGAATGGTGATGTGAAGACGAAGAATGTGTGCTGTGATTTCCGTAAATTTTCTGCGACTACTAGAAGTTCTGCCGTATACTTTGATGAGGTAGATATGTTACGTATGGTCGATATAAAAGGGCGAGTGGAAGGCCGATGCAGTTATTTTTTGAGTGCGATGTGACGAGAGAACGATGAAGAAGTCGTTGGTTTTATCACGCCAGAGGTGCAAAAATATATTGGCGCGGCATGCATACCGAGAAGTGAATTCTGGGGGGTACGGTTACGGAAGACCGGCATCAAAACCGCTCTCGCAAGCCGCTCCTGCCATTTCCATAACCCGGCGCGTCACGCGAGCTTGGTCCGTCAAGCTCGTTGCGCTTGAAGCGGCCCCGGCGTTCGCGTGCCTCATCGATGGAATTAACAAAAGGCGTTTCCTCGAATCGCTGCATCGAGGACATCATCTTGGGAAGTGGTGATGAATTGCGCCGTACACTCGGACGACCTCGAGGCAACGGAGCACAGGTCCAATCAAAGACTTGCTCGACGCTGCTGCGGCTGTCCTGACGTTCGCGAGGTCCAGGAACCAGGGTTTGCTGGCGTGCACGAGAACGGGAGTTGGAGCGACTACTCGTGTCAGGTGCGCGTCGCCGCCCGCGGGGCGTCGCTTCTACAACAGAGCGAATGCCAGAGATAGCTAGCAACGAAGCTAATTTTGGTGTAGGGGGAGACGGACGACTGGTCGTATTTCCTGAACTGGTAGAGAGTGGTGGTGAGCTTCGCTGGGGGGAGCTGACCTGCAGAAGAGAGAAATATGCAGGGAGACTCGCACGGTTGCGGCTCTTTTTGAATTTGGAGGTAACAGTGAGCTTGTTATGCTCCCGCTCTCGCTCCGAAGGTTTCTCATGGAAGGGAGCGTCGCTCACGGAGTCAGCGTCGTCTTCAGCAGAGGAATGGGCTTGTCCAAAACCTGAGCTGGATGTAGAAGATGTTCGACGGTGAAGAAGGGGGATGGTCGAGCGGTTGTTGGTAGCCGACGGTTGGCGAGTGTAGCTGAGTCCTGAGGACTTGCATGGATGTAAGAAGCCTGCGGACCGTGCGAAGCCGTCGCCGGATACACTTGGTTCTAAACCATCTCCTTCATAGGCGACTTCGTCATCAATACCAACAGAAGCATAGCCTTCCTCTTCTGCATCAGTGAAGAGAGACCAGGAAGCCGAAGATGTGGATGAAGACGATACAGAATACCGGCCTCGCTTCTGGAAATTACTGCTAAGCGCGGTTCCTAATGCAGACGGCATGAGGGGGGGAACATCGCCACCGGGAGTAAAATCGATGTATGGAGAGGAAAGGGCGCTGCTGGCAGAAGAGATGGACGGAGAATTGTACATGTCTGAATTTTCGCATTCATCACTGCAGTAAGCACGACTACATTGATGGAGGAAGTTAGAAGGAGGTATCTGGGCATAGGGAAATGCATACCCATCATCGCGGAGGTGTTTGGAACATGCGAGGCATATCTCCTCGAACATGAGGCTTAGTTGAGCAACAAAGGGTACCGGGCGGTAAAGAACTAAGCTTGTTTTATGGAGACGAGCACGCTGCAGTAGGCGTCGTTCGAAATACAGTGATGGGGCGTATGAGAAAAAAAGGAAAGAAAGAGCACGGGCTTAAATACGGGGGAGGCGGTACGAGGAATAGAATATCTGAGAAATAATAAATATGAATTAGATGACTCAATTCAGACAAGACCGGGTTGAGTCAAAGCGTGCGATCTCACAGGGGAACCACGTCACATAGCGTCACATTCGCACATACAAGGATTAGATCTGCCTTTATTATTTGTCAGCAACGTTCTCTATACAAAAGTTGTTCTGAATCAGCTCGTCGCACGTTTGATTGCGCAATGTTCATGCACACCATCACAAGTCTAAGATTTATCTCGCTAAATGGACAGCATGTTTGCTACAGACGACGAGGTGTGAAATGATGTGAAAGTGATGTGATAGTAGTACTACAGCCGTTTATTCGCCCTCAGAAGAGTCCGATTCATCGACAGAACGTCTGTGAGTGACAATACCACGGGTGACTCCCCCGTTCGCACGTAATAAATTTGTGGGGGGATGAACTTTGACCGCAAGGGTGAGTGAGGACCAGACAAGTCGTTGCGGTTTGCTGGCAGATCTTGGCAGACCTAGACTCTCCTTTAAAGGCTGCCGTCACCTCGGGCGGTCATCACACATTGCTCAGAACGACTTGCAGTATCACTCGTGCGTGTTATTTTATTTAATTATCTTCCTCGATTTTCGTTTCCCCACATTTGGCAGTTTAACGTTCGTGCGGGTCCCGTGTAAGGGAACAACAAAGAGAGTCAAAGTTTCAGTGAGACGCCTTTGTTTATAAATACAGGTCTGGGAAGAATTCACCCTGCTTGATCCGACTAATTATAAAACAATGGGATCGGGAAATGGAGGACCTCCCAGGCAGTGGGTGAATACGCCACCAGGAGGAATACTAGAATGTTCCGGCCTTTTGAATTTTCAATTGGGAATCTTGTAAGAATCCATAATTGCTATCCAAATTGCAATCGCTAACCAAAATTAATATCAACTGCAAGCTAATATAGGAACCGCAGGTGGAACTTCGTCGTGGTTATCACTGATCTCACGCTCCTCCTTCCTATGGGATGCTGTAGATGTAGATTTATTTTCCATCTCAGAAGCAACACCGTTAGAGGTGTCGCCTTCTGAAAGTAGTGAGCGATTGACGTCATCCGGAATGGGAGGGAGTACATCCTTCTCTACATCTCCAGAAGAAGATTCCACTGCTTCAAAGTCTATTATCCCGCGGGCGCGAGAACTGCCGCTTGAGGGTGGCGCCACAATATCAGGGGGTGGGCTGCCACTTTGATGTTCTTCCACGGTAGCAGCATGGCTAGGTTCCTCTTGAGGAGGAGGTGGCAGCGGGATAGGTGTCGGTGAAGAATTAACTGCGGGTAGTGGCTTGTCCGGCTTGACACTATTCTTCCGCGACAGCAGCCCCTTGATACGTTCGTTTGGACTTGCTGTGCCTCGGATATTGCTGAATGCCGACTTCCGAGGCAAAGTCTTCTCTGAGACCAGTTTCTTGAGCACGTTTGTCGGCGCACCAACGTTTTTCAGAACAGAAAATTTCTCGTGAAGATAGTGCACATCAGCGAGCATTCTGTAAAAATCGTCACGAGGCTTGAAATCAGAACAACTACTCTACTCACCTATCTTTCGCTTCTTGACTTTGCAAGTCTATCTTACTGTACTCTTCAGATAGGCGGTGATTGATCGCAGCGAACACCTGAGACATCACATACTGTGCAGCAGGTCACGAATGTAAGCGAACTTGGGTAATACGTATAACATAATTATCACAAACCTCCACCACTGGTGCAGTCAGGTACCTCGAGAGCACTTTGTGAAGTGTGACAGTCTCCTTGACGAGAAGTTCCATGTAATCATTGACACTTTCTCCCTGCTTGGGCCGATCCCAATCAACGTTCTATTCGCACTCGGTTCAGCTTTCGACGCCCCTAGGGAAGGTATTACGGCAGAGGGCGTAGAACTTGCCTGTAAGGATTTAACATGTGCACTAGTGCGATCGCCCATAATAGAAATCAATTTGGAATGAATTTCACTTTGATGCTCTTGGAAGTCCTGCATTTAGGACACGGGTAAGATTCGGTGATGAATTGGTACCGCCGGTTCCGGACGCACCCTCTTGAGTTTATCAAATTCGATTAGCATGACTGCCTGGGTTGGACTCAGGTGACGACGGAAGGTTTCTCTTACGTATGGAATGAGCGCGACCATTATGGACAAGGACTGCGATGCTAGCGCTGAAGGGGTGATGTCAGTGGTTCCTAAACGTCAGGGATGAACGGTGCCTACCAAGATGTTTTGCTGTGATGTTCTTCAGACCAGCTGACCGCATGGCTCCAGCGCCAAGAACAACTTGACAGGTTCTAGAGTTAAACGCCTTCAGAAACTCTATCACTCGACCCATCGTATCGATGTTAAGCATGGGCAGATTGACGACAAGCTTAAGGTAATCGAATAACAGGCCGAGGACAGCGCCTGTGGCAGAAACACAAAAGTACGGCCGTTCTTCGATTCGAAGGTACTTGGATGACGGCGCGGATCCATTCGGATTACTTGAAGGAGGTTGGGGTGATAACGTATTTGGGGCCGAAGTCAAGCTGTCTGTTTCGCCTACGATAAGCTCAGGAGAATCCCGGACTGCGGAATCTACCAAGACATCTGACATGTGCTGCAGTGCCGCAGGCACTTCCGACATCGGATTCCAAAGCTCGTCTTCGACAAGTTTCGCAGATTGGGTAATTCGGGCCTGATGGAACGCTTGTAGAAAGTGCTTCGCCTAGGAGTGACATATTGTGGTCGCTTCTGATTGACTGAGATAAATAAACGTACCTGACTAAGGACTACTCCCCTCAGCCCCATGATCATCCGCCGGCATATCACTTCGCATTGTACCACAAAGCCCCACGATGCATTGAAAAAGGTAAGGAAGCCAGGTAAATCAAGTTGCGCATGCTGTTCGGAACGATATCCAATCACTTTTGCCGCGAGCTTGTTCGAGAGGTCCGCAGTTGAAGATAGAATATCCAAGAGTTCTTCTTGGAGTGAGATGATATCTACTGATGGTTTTGGCGCTCTGGAATATGAATCAAGAGGTATGGAAGCACAGTGAGCGATAACACGGAGGAGAAACAAAGGGCCATACAGTAAACTTTCTAACACTTCTATTAGTATGCCATTTTGAGCCTGAATACCCTTGATACCATTCAGAAGGCTCGTATACAGCTGTGAGATAAGAAATAGGAACTCCGCATGTTCTTTGGAGCGAAGAAGATTTGCAAGTCCACTGTAATAAGCATTGGACAGTTGATAGTAGTACCACGAAAGTCAGCGCCGGCTTACCTTGAAGCACCCTTAGGACCTTTGGACTCCTCATCACCCATATTGAAGGACGGCAAGTGCTAGAGAACCATCAATGATCATGCACCATCGAAGTGCCCAGCACATACATGCTTCATGATACCTTGCATTTCACTTCTCACAACTTCTCTCCATGAAACTGTGGCTTCGCGAATCCCTTTGGTACGCAAAAGGCCTTGAAGAACGGGCCGCAACCTGTCCTTAAAGGAGAGATTCACATTACCGTTCCGCTCAGGTACTCCATTCACTCGTTCTAGTAAGTCAAGCTTTAGCACAGTGACGAGCTCCGTGGTAAGCGAGGACGCTATCTCCATCGTCAATGCACGAATGTGCGCAGGAAGAGAAGAGAATGCAGTTAAGGAGGACAGTGGTATTGATGCCTTCCTAGGCCCTTCATTTTCCGGGGGAGGCGATTCCGGCGTAGGCGAAAGACGGGATGATCGTCCGTTGGTAGGGACATGAACAAGTTCCCCGCGAGCTTCCCTGGTAGAAATTGCGGGTTGCGCTTCAGCAGTAGCTGGATCCCAGAGTGCTTCTATGCCTTCAATGACTGTCAAAGCCTCGCCCCACTGTCCTGCTGCAACTAATCCTTTTGCAACACCAGTCATCTCCAGCACACCCCCGATGTCTTTGACGCCACTACAGATAGATTCGAGATTGAGTAGTTTGCATTCTGTCCTCACAATTTCTAGTCCTCGTTTGGCACCTTTTTCATCGACCTCCTTGAGCAGTCCGCGGAGCTTCGATATCCGATCAAGACATTCCTCCGATTCGGTCTGCAGGTCTTGCAAGTTGGTTAATGCCGCAAAGAATGATGTAGATCGAAGAGAAATTTCTCGAACAAGATGCTGTTCAATAGTATCTGCGTGATGAGAGAGTTTCTCAAGAAGAGGGAGCGAATATGAGAGCGACGAAGGGTCGGAGCAATCATTATCTTCTTCCTGGTGTTCTATGACAGCATTGAATATTTGTGGGTCACCAAGGTTAAATTGAGCATCGAAGAACACCTCAGGGACGGAGCTTAGTGGTGTTAATAGCTTCCCTGCGCGAGGCATGAATGACGTAGGCGAAGTGTCTGTTGAACCACGAGGACTGAATGACACGTCCGGCTTCTCTTGACCATCCCGACTAAGCTGCATGTTTCGCTGGAGCCTCTCCCATTCCGGTGCAATGGCCCGAAGATACGGATCGAAATCCTTGCGTTTCACGCGCGGTAAGTCAGCTGGGGGCACAGCTGGGAGGGAAGAATGTGCTTTTGGAGGTGCCTGCCGTCTATGAGGGTTATTGAGAACCGTTGAAATCGCTGGAAACAATAAGTACCACGCATCGCACGATGGCAGCGTGACCTACCATTGAATCCCTGTGTCGAGCTACTCCACTCCTGAGGTAAAGCGGCGGGGGCAACATTGGTGGTTGATAGATTGGGTAACTCAAGGTGAAAGGGTGTTGCGAAATAGTCACCTCCACGACCTTCAGTAGTCTCTGAAACGCTCCCTGGACCTCCAACACGAGAAGATGTATCCCAGTTTAAACGGAATGGACGTGCAACTTGTGGTATTTCTGGTAGAGCGGGTACTGGCGTGGCAGGCCTAGAGGGACTTGACACATAATCAGACATGTTCTACCCTTGTTTGTGTGCAAGCTTAATGAAGAAGCCTAGACTTGTGGGGACGTGGCTCAAACACAAAGAGAGAAGTAAAGCCTGCTTGTTGCGTCTAACAAGGTTGCCAGTTGTAAAATATCGTCGACGGCAAACGTCGGTAAGCAAGTCAGGAAATCTCATTAAGTTGCTACTTGCCCGGTGCCTCCACGGGGACCTCGCGAACTTTATAAAATATGAAATATATGGACCATAAAGGGGTGTTCTAGTGGTAAATATCCTGACTTTGGTAATAATCGTCCTATATTAAGTAAGGTTTTCTACAAAAATACTTCAACGCTCTGCAACGAATTAATCGTAGCACTAGTGTTTTGCTAGCATGACATCGGTTTTCAGTTTTCCTGAACCGCTCCAGAGGTTCCTCAGCAAGTTCCCTCTTCACACTTACCCACCGATTCCAGTTATCCCAAGACGTCCTTTGCAAAAGCCCACGCTATGGATTGCACCTCCTCGGACAACGGTAGTCGATCAAACCTCTAACTCCGATATTTTGAGCACAGACGTCGAGTGTTTGAAATGGCAGGCATATATCGCTTTGCGTGGGCTCACTAACATTGCTGTACGGTGGGATATTTCTCCAGAAGGTGGAATCGATGGTCGTTTGCCTTGTCTACACACTCCTGCGGTTGGGGATGTCGGTAGTGAGCTATTAGCACCACGTTCTATCCCTGTTTGGGTAGATGGACAAGTTGGCGGTGGGAGCGATCCTCTCAATGGTTACAGCGATGAAACACTCAAAGATGAGAGTCACGCATGGGTCTCCTTGCTCGAGGGAGTAGTACATGCTGCTTTGGTGCGTGCATTCTGTCTCGTATGTAGATCACATCCTGACTACTCTTACCAGACTCTATCAGAACCTCCACAACCTTCTCTCTCTCAACTCTTCGTGACAGCTAACGCTGGAGGGAGGGCCTTGGCAGCTACTCTCAGCCCACCACCTGCCCCTCTGACTGGCTTGAGCTCTGTACTTCCGCCGTATGGAACAAACATCACACTCTCATACATTCAAGGACAGTATGTGGAGGCCATCGCTTCACTCTCGGAACGGCTTGGAACTGACAATTGGTTCCTCGGCTCAGAGTAAGCCACTATTCTATTCTCGAAGCCACCAGGTATATTCACCGACACAATGCAGAAATCCCACTGCCTTGGATGCACTTGCTTTTGCGTACCTACACTGTCTTTTGTATAGCATGGACAGCACAAGAATAGAGGTCACTCGACGCGCGAACCTTGTTGCTTGGGAGCGGAAAGTACGGACACAAGTAGAGGCAGCGTTCACTGTGGCCTAATGGTCTGATTGGATGGCTATGTATTTAAACATATAGTATCTGTTACTACTGGCATTCGACCCCTAGAACAACAAAATGTACAAAAGAGGGTTATGTCTTAGTTTTTCCGTTGACGACCTTGTGACCGTCGGGTGTTCCTTGAAACCTTTTTGCAAGCGCAGCTACCATCTTGGTGAACCTGAGGTCGATGAGCATAAATTAACCCTTTAAGACAATGACAATGACAACGGAAGTCTCACCAAAACCAGTTGAGCCCTTGAAGCAAGATGTTGCCGCCCCCATAAATGATGAGGTATGGTGTCAAAACTTGGTCGTATACGCTATTCAAAGTTACGAAAAAGTCATAGGACTGCAAGCAAAGCATTAGTATAAAGGACGCTAGGTTCAAATAAGCACCGACCATCATTGCACCCCAGATACAGCGCACACAAAAGAAGGTTGTAATGAGAACAATACCATTGACAAGCTGAAGGGTACTGCCTGTTTTTCCTATCTTGTCCAAGAACCTAACCAGCGAAGCTCGTCTACATCATCATGAACATATCTAATCACGACCTACCAATGGATGTTCAAGAACACAGTGCTTCTGTGAACAGTATGAGCAAGGAACTGAACAACGGTATGATATATCACTCACAGCTCCCAAAACAAGAAGCGCACTGCATAGTAATGAACAAAGGGTGTCTAAATGGGCGTGTTATATTCATGAAGCTCTCATAAAGCTCTCATATGTGCGCATCACTCACAAACGAAAGGCCATATATCAGAAGGCAAGAGATGCCTGGGGCTAGGTCGGGAGCAAGCTTGCGAAGAAACTCATCAGATACATACCATGGAAAACGAATCCAATGTCACTAAAATGGATAATCGATTCTAATGTGTCCCAGATGAAGTAACTAGAGTGGAGTCAACAAAACTGTATTGGCATTCGATCAGTGTCGACTCACCCCGTTGCGATAGCTATCAAAAACCCTGCATCTTCATGCCAACCAAAGGCACGATTTTGGTCAAGGCTCGGAAGATTGAGACAACGCCCAGCAAGGAATATGATTAAGATAGCATGGACGAGCGAAGCCACACGTATATCCCTGTAGTCATCGTGAATTCTTACTTGCCGAACAAGTGTAGTAGTCAGCCTCACCAGTTATTCCTCGCTCTCTGTCCCGCTTTCCCATATGACACAGGAAAGAGTACACTACTTACAGCAGGTGAGAGAGTATTGTGCACAGTAGTAAAGAACACGAAAGAGAGCAAGATAACATCGGCAAAGTCAGAGATCTTGCTGATGCCCAGTTTTTGCGCAACTGGCGCAGCAAACTCGCGAATTTGCAGGCGCAAATCTCGAATCATGGGACAGAGGAGTGTATACGTAACTGAAGGTGTGAACCAACCGTAATCGAATTCGTGGGCAGTGAGCTGGCTGGCCTGTGGATTTAACAGCACACTTCCCAAAAACTATTATGGAACAAAACGGAACACGTTTCAGGGATTGGCGCTATCGCGAGTGGACGGAGCAGGAGTTCACGAAGAGACATTGGCTACCCGTTGTTTATAACGAAACACAGAAACTAGGATATGAGAACAATGACTGACAGAACAAGACTGCTGCATGAAGAGCTCAGGTTGATCGAAAGCTTTTCAAATTGTTCACTTGGTCTTGGCATGACAATTATTAAACGACTTCATTGTCAAGGGTCTCTTCCCCAACAAATATATATATCACATAGATGCACTTCCAGCCCAAACAAAAACTGATAAAAACAAATAAAACACTGATCTATGCAAAAAGTGAGAGAATGCACTATGCAAAGAGTGAAATTGATAAAAGAGACCCTGGGACGACTCGAAGCAGCAAAGAATTTGCAGTTCCAAGCAATATGTATATACGACTGGAGTGTAAGAATGTGCAAGCCATAAGGCATCGTCCATCTGGTTTTGGAAGGTTATGATGACGAGGATATGTAGGATATGTGTAACGAGCGTGAACGGTTTGAGTGTGCGTAGGATGCATGGAGGTGTCGCGCAGGAAAGGGTGTCTGGAGTCTCCACCAGTCTTTCCGTAGCCAAATGAAAGGGGGTATGTCACGGTATGGGGTATAGGGAGTAACATATCACATCACAATACAGGTGCAGCCTGTTTGCGGCGGTGCGTATGGGTCCTCACCCTTTCCAACGGGTCCCCACACAGAAGGTACCTGGAAGTACGTTGTATGAGCGTAAAGCACATAAGCGCACAAAATGAAATTGTAGAGCAAGTGAAGGCGCTGAAGCACCGGCAGGACAAACGCACCAGGTGGTCTTTTGTGGTCTTGCAGTAACGAATTAAACTGCAAGGCGGAGACAGAGGGTAAGATCTTATATGCCAGACCATGGTGGGAAGAAAATAGGACCATACCTTGCGCTAGCTTCGCTCACTCTCATCCGTGGTCGCGCGAGATCCTCTCGCAGTCGTTGGTTGTGCTCTGTGAGCCTGCGAAGCTTCAGCTCCGACATAGACTGCTTATGTGGACGAGCGTTCATGGTGCAATAGTGCGGAAATGAGGACAAAGAGGTTGGCGAAGCTCAGAAAATCTGAGAAAAAGGAACCTAGTATGCGCCTGCGACAAAAGATAGCTTATAAGTAAGGAAATTAGTAGACTTGAAGTGAAAAAAAAAACGTCAACGAACCTGCCCACCCGGCCAAGATGTACACGGGAGAGAAACGAAGAACGATCAACAGTGGGACATACCGTGTCGGAGTTCCAATCCCCAAGAGGTCTAATTGCACTGCAACTCTTACAAGTTTCGAAGTATAACACTCATCATGGTACGTCTTTCATCACCAAGCGATAGGAAGTCGATGTCGAACACCCGAACGCGGTCCACAGTGTCGAAGGCGCTCAAGTCATGTCAGATGCCATCCACGCGTTCAGCCTTCAGGGACGTTGCTGACAGCAGTACTACAGTGATTAATACAGACAAACCACGCGTAATGGCCCGTAATAGAGTTGTTTCACCCTACCAGAGGATTCAGAATCGGCATAAATGCACCTGCGAACCTTGTTACCAGTCTCCTACTAGATCAGAAGACCCCCCCAGCTACTCTGAATATCGCGAAGACGAATTCACCGATGCAGAAGACGTCACTCAGAGGCACCAGGATCACGATGACGATGACGGTTCCGCGGACTCTGACTGGGACGAACATGCGACTTTAATTGCTCTCTTACACGACGGGTATTCAATAGCTTCACAACCTTTAGGAATTGCTTCGTCGCTCATCATCATCTCAGAGAGGAGGCTTCTGGATGTGCTGATGGCATGGCTATCATCGATCGACTCTCATCAACATTCCTTTCTCGTCACCGCGAAGCAATAGAACAGTTCAGGGAGACTATCGTTCCGGTGCTTACTCGAGTAGGAGAAGCTCACAAAGTCTTTTCGCATGGCAACAATTCGACTTTGCTCCGTGGAGCTGCCCTATTTGACAAGAGCTCGAGAACTGACGAAGATGCCGCAAGGCATGAACACGATCAAGTGGTTCGGGCGTTTGATAGGGTGACAGTTAGTTTGTGAAAGCTGCCTTTATCTCGTCCAATCCAGCAATGACTTTCCAGGACACGCTTCAAAATTTATCTCTTCAGCTGCAAGATGTATGCGCTGAGAGTGACAAGCTCCTCGATAGTCATGAAAGGGCCGTCAACGAACATGGTATTTTCTCTCAGACTTCTTGTTTTATGAGCCTGATCACAGAATGGTCCTTCCACGTAGTCCAACGACTTCAACGTTACTGGAAATCGGTGCCCGGGGACGTTGAGAAACTCATATGTAGACTTGACCAGACAACCAAGTCTGTCGCAGCCGAAGATCATGCAAAAGCCAAGGAGAAACTTCTGCGAGGCATCCTGGACAGATACTGAGTATAATTCGCCTTCTATTGCATGTCATGTCACTATTGATTCCATACGGCGTGTTCTTGCCAGTGGATTCATCACGAAATTCTCGTATTGTTTGTATGACTTGCGTTGTCATTTAAATGCAATTCCTTTGTACTGTTCTCCAACCGTTACCTGTCATAATTAAACCATGAATTCAGACCGTGACTGCATTACACTAAGAACATCTGGCCCATTACCTGAGCCTTCCAAGTTACTCGAGGAGATCAATAGTAAATTGGATAGAATACGCCTCTTCATAGTTCTGCGTCGTCTCCAAATCGCTCTTCAACTTTGTTTGTTCCCATATGGCTTTGCCAGAAGCTTGAAGCCTAGTACTGAGGGCACGTTAGGAGGGAACCGTAGAAAAGATTTTTATGAGCAAAATACAATTATCCGAATTTGGATATTATCATTTCAAAGCGGTCAAACCAGGTAATTGTACCGTTGCAGACTTGACTCCACACCGCGATCACCACAAAGTACCGTTTAATCCTGTGGTATCCCGCTTTCTTGACTCTGTGACACGACACGCGACAAGCACAATTATACGGCAGTTGATACAAAGCTGGTGAGTACTTTGGTCCTCAACAATTGACCACACTCTCATATCTCACAGTTTTTGCTAATCAGGCACTTTCACCGCACACGAATACCATAAGCATGAGCTCTCGAGGCGGAAGGCAGTCAATGTCGGAGCTACGGTATCGCCGGCTGCTGGAACACAATCAGCGCCTTCGAGAAGACTTGGCAAGGCCAAGAATCCGGGTCAGTGAAGCAGCCGCCAGGTGAGTTCATCCGTCTGTCTTATTAAAAACCGGGCTGACTTGTCCACAGTTTAATTCGCTACTGCAAGACGACGAAAGACCACCTAGTATGTTTTCTTCATCATGCGAATTTTGCGTTGAACGTATGACGAACAACATCCACCCAGGTTCCGTCCGTTTGGGGTCCAGTCACCAAGGCAGACGACGTATACGGCCAACAAAAGTCTGGAGGCAGTTGTTGTTCGATACAATAGCCTGGACGGTTCTACGAATTTTCATTCGCTCACTTGCCCGTCTATATGTTAGCGCCCAACACAGTTCTCGTTTATACCGCTGCATTACGATGCGGACCCCACTGCTTTATTGACCCCGGTAGTTTGTTTTCATCTCCTACGTGTACCTATATTGAACCTTTCATTAACTCGTTGTAACAAACTCTACACCGCTTTCGATGTTTCGATACATTTTTTGGAACCAGAGGGGTTTCGTATATATACAATCATATTCATCATGCAAGGATGCTACGTGTCTCCTATAACTTGGCTATGAATTCGCGAATGCCGCTTTCCTTCATGGCTCCAACAAACTGGTCGACCTTCTGGCCATCCTTGAATGCTATGACTGTCGGCAGCGCCCGCACCTATTGTCAACGACAGAAATGAGAACGGCTCAAGTTCACGTCGAAGTGTGCGCACTTTGTATTTTGCTGCTAAGTCGAACTCTGAGTCTGTGTCCACTGTGACCAGATCAAGCGAACGGCCGCTACCAGTTTTCACTGTCTCGTCACTGGTCAATTTTTCAAGCAGGGGCGAAATCATCTTGCAAGGATTGCACCAACTAGTATACAGCTGTCAGCATGCGCGTCACCGCCTATTACATCCAAAGTTACGCACTCTGCATAAAAGTCAACCAGGACAGCCTTTTCATTCGCAGGGTTCAGAGCAACTTTTTCAAAAGTCTAGAAAGTTTATATGCATGTAGCGCTTGTGGTTATGTTTGACCAAGCTGGTGCTATGATACAGACAGGAAAAGGTGCTTGCCTTTTCATCAGCATTCAAGTAATGTTCTTGGGACTTCTGGGATCCATGGAGTTGACGCAGACCTACTGCAGACCGCAAACTGTGATTCACCGTCAACAAAAGGCGTAACCGTGGGGAAGCTTTGAAAGTGACGGATAACATCGGGGCAACGGAATGTCACCCGGTTCGTCAGTACATAGAAACAATATAGAGAATCTATTCATACTTTCTCACGTTGTTTCTTAGCTGCCTGTGTTGGTCCAATAAGTCCACAACGCTATCGATACGCCAATCATATATCGCCCAGTGTGCATATGCGAACAACGGAATCAACAGGCCCGTTAATTGATCGGCACAATGAGCCAAGCCTCATTATATTTACAAATATTTATATTACTGTAATGTATATATAATAATTTAACTAATTAAATAATTAAATAAATTTTATTCAAAGATGATCGGTATTGATCTACTGGAGCTTTGCATACCCCCACCATGCCGGTCCGCTCACTCCCTCCCCCAAATAAAAGACGCAAGACAGCTGTTGAATCCACTTCGGTCAAGTCTCTGGAAGCTCAGCTAACATCCGCTGTCGCAGAAAATGGCTCTCTCAACCCACTGGCGGACCTGCTCATAATGGCAAATGGCTCATCAGACGCGAGGGAAATGTCCAAAGCTGTCTATAGCGTTTATCGCGTATTTGTCTTGATAATAACACGCGGGATGCTAATCCACGGAGGTGACGATGCTGCCAAGCTTGTCCGCAAGTGGATATGGGAGAAGTTGGATTCGTATGTCGAACTCCTCGTTGGCTTACTGCAAGATGAAGAGCCTTCGCTAAGGGTACGTGTCACTTCGTTGGCCGTCCTTTGTATTCTCACATCGCTACCAGAAATCCTCGCTGGAGATACTTTTTTCACTTTTGAAACATCTCTCAACTTCCCTCACAAAGTCTTCCTCGGCCGCACAACCTCAATTTCACTTTGCGCACTTCAAACACATAGTACACGGGCTTCTATTATGCCCTCCGTCCCCTCGGTCGTATGGAAGCAGTAAGCATCATTCAAAGACGATGCCGGATGTAAGAGAGAATTTTGTGGAGGTATGGTTCAGCGTCTACGATGATATTCGATGGTGTTTTTTGCGAGAAGCAACGTAAGACCCAATGCAAAATTTATATGCAGTGATTAACTCTGTCCCTAGAACTGTGCTCTCGAAATATTCATCTGCGGAGAACCCTCACCTGCTCGACAATATGCTTTCTATCATGGAAAAGTTGTCAACATTTCCAACGGACTCCTCAGAGCTTAATTCATGGTGGGTGGAAGAGCTCGGCATAAAACCCCAAAAATACAAAAATGTCAAGGGAGATGCTGAGGATGACGCCGCTGAGTTGGTGGACGAAAATGACGAAGATGACTGGCGCAAATTTTTCGACGAGGATTCCAATGCGAAAGATGTGAAAAAAAACGGTGTCAAGGGCCGGGCTTACACTTTGACATTCCACCAGTCTCTTTATTCCCTTCAAGCCCATCGTGCTGTATTCACGCGAACGTGGCTAAACTTTCTGCCCCATCTCTCATCTATCACAACATCTTCCGATCGAGCGCTGACGACAAGAGCATTGAATATAATGCATCGCGGTGTCTTACCACATCTCACTAGGCCTGTGCTTGTCATGGATTGGATAAGTGCATGCGTGGATCTTGGTGAGGGAGCATTCCTGGTATCAACCATAATTTATTCAAGCATTATGCTAGGAGAAACTGTTGGACTGCTGGCACTTAACGCTTTGTTCATCCTCATGAGAGACTATAATCTGTGAGTGCAAATCTTCATATACCACGCTTTATGTCTCACCAAATGTCCACGCTGTAGAGATTATCCTTCGTTCTTCACCCGATTATACGGGTTCCTCCATCGTGATGTTCTACACTTGAAGCATCGTGCTCGATTTTTCCGTTTAACCGAGCTATTTTTGAGTTCTACGTAAGATCTATCTCTACAATTTCCACTTGTTGCTGAGACAGCCCAGGCATTTGCCTGCAACTTTATTGGCATCATTCGTCAAGAGGTTGTCCAGGCTGTCATTGAATGCCCCTCCAGCAGCTATCATCATGATCGTTCCTTTCACGTACAACATTCTCAAGCGACATCCGGCCCTCATGGTAATGATACACAATGATTCTGGCACTGACGGTGGTACGCATCCGGCATCTTGGTTACTATCCAACTAATCACGATGTCAGACCCGTTCATCGCCGACGAGCCAAATCCCAACTCTACCAACGCCCTCGATTCTTCTTTATGGGAGCTTCACTCCCACATTCACCACTATGATCCCGCAGTATCAACCATTGTACGCATTTTTTCAGAGGCTTTTACCAAGCCTGGTTATTCAATGGAGGATTTCCTCGATCACACATACGGAACGGTAAGAGAAGTTCCTTTATTCTTTTGTGCCTGCACTTACCATAACAATGTTGCAGCTAATTGAAACTGAGGTTAGACGTAAGATAAAAAAGGAACCCGCATTAGCTATGGAGCTGAGGAAAGATTTATTTCCGACGGGAGACGCAACAAATTCGGACGACTGTTTGGTTGGTAGGGATGTAGTTAGCGAACTGTGGGTATTTGGATAGATAAATATCCTGCGATTCACTCTATAGCTTGGAAATGAGACCATCACGCCAAGGCAACGATGTGTAAATAGGACCAAACATACCAATATTGATTCCGTCTGACGCTGAGCCAACGTTGAGCTGGGCTAAGGTCGAGTGGCATCCACTTCCAGTAGCTGCAGATATATGGATTCGATCAGAATTTCAAAGGTGCGCTGCGCGCGGAACGCGCGATTGATATGCTCAACAGTGCATGTGCAGGTGGAAAAGGTATTATGTGGCAAGTCCGGCAGGGCTCATTATGGATCACTGCACCTTACTGCTCATCACCTTATTTTTCGGTATGAGGATTCTGAGAAAGAGGAGATGTGGGCGAGTTCTACATCCCGGTTTACGGCGTGCTGGACTTGATAACTCGCACTGCAGGTACCTTACCCACTAATATCTCTTGTATTGAAGCTCCCGCAAACCCTGCATGGACAGAGTCCGTTAACGTTTCACACTCGCATGTTTGAAACGTTTTCGCTCTCCTTCGAGAAGGAACGGGACGCTATAGATGTATTCGAAAGTGTTAAAGAGCTAACCGTGTGCAGTGAGCATACAATCCCTCGATTTGAGTAGCATCGATCGTTAACATTTGTTAGCCTCTGTCAACCAACTATATGCTTTCTTCTACGTCCCTAACCCGCCATTCGATACTACGGGTGGATGGTCCCTTTATTCTCCAAGAGAAGAATTCGGTCGTATGGGGGTTGGGACTC